TGCTCGTCGCAGGTCGCGGGACGGCTCCTCTCCCGGCTGTGCTGGACGGCGGTGCTGCTGGCCACCGGCCGACGCGGCCGCCTGGTTCTGGTAGTGCGCGGTTTCTGGCGGCTCTCAGGCCACACACCGGTGGTGACACGTTTCCTCCAAGGTCTCCACGCGGAATTCAGACTGTAGTAGCTTCTTCAGAGAGGAGCCAAGGTCAGCAGAAACCAGGATTTTGGGGCCCGACTCCTCGGCCCCCGTCGAACTCTGTTGACCTGCGCAGTCGGAGGCCTTCTGCATTCGGCGCCGTCAGTGGCACGGAGTGCACGCCTCGTCCAAGGTCCGGAGCTGGGCGCTGCCCTGCCCCCGGTGCCCCGCCCTGTCCCTCCTGCCAGTGGGACCACACAGGACTCGCCCTCTGGGGCCTCACTCCTCGTAGTGGCCTCAAGGCCCCTTCACTTGGGGGGGGTCAGGGGTTGGTATCTACTTCCTTCTGGAGGCCGAACCCCAGGGCAGTCAGTTTTAGAAAGGATTGTTCTGGCTCTCGGTTCGCAAGAAAGACCAGTCATTCATGTCCCAAAGGCGGCAGACGTCGGGAACGCGTCCGTGCTGGCAGCGGCATGCGTCAGTCACCAAGTTTAGGCTCTGGTCACACCCCTCTGCCACGTCCCTCCCCCCTGCCACCTGCCCTGGTCTCGACGGCAGCCCGGGGCCCGCCTGCAGACCCAGGGTGCAGCCTGTCACGGCACTGGTCTCTGCGGCGCCTTTACCGGAGAGGCCCTGTGAGACGTGGGTACGAGCTTGTGCCTGTCTTACAGGCCTGACTCCACCCTTGTCTCGTCGGCAAGGACCCAGGGTTTGTGGAAGTTTGCCGAACATCCCTATGTTTCTGAAACCTCTCTAGTCCTTTGAATTTTCATTGTGAGTCACTGGGCTTCCCTGGGAGACAAGGTGACTTACCCTCAGGTCAGGGCAGGGGGCGGTGATGTAACCTGAGCCACGGGCATGCGGCCAGGGCGCCAAGCCTCTTGACCAGTGCTCAACACGCTGGGACTTGTGACGGGCCGCCCGACATCTGTCTGCGGGGAGGAACGCAGCCTTTGCTCTGTGGGCAGCTTCCCAGCTTCACGCTTTTGACCCCAGAGCTGTTTGCCAACGGCCATCGTGTGCTCCAGAGTCAGAGGGCGTCTGTGCGCTGCACCAGGCCGTGCTGCCCGGGCTGTCGGGCTCCCAGCCTCCTCAGACGCAGCTCCGTACAGGGCCAGGCTGGGGCGCCGCATGTGTCAGAGCAGCCATGCCTCCTGGGCCCCGGCGGGGGTGGGGGGCGCGGGGAGCCAGGCGGTTCTCTGGTCGTCTCCCTTCTGCACTGGGGAAAGGGTGGGCCGTCTGGGCTGTCCTCACTTCCATCCGGTGTTGGTCTGGGCCCTGAGCCTTTGCCAGGAGGGCTACAAGGAGGAAGACGGTTGGCGATCACGGTGGGAAAGGAAAGCCAGCGTGTCTTTGAGCAGGGCAGAGGGTCCCACCGTGGCCAGGGACCTCTGGTGCCTTGCCCTAGCGCGCACCACCGGCTCTTGCTCAGGTCCCTGCGGTGGCCTGCGCTCCTGCATTTTCACGTGGGCTTCCCGGCAGGTCACCGGGCACTGACCCGCGGCACTGCCGGCCGCCGTGTGCTGTACCCCTCACTGTTCGTGGGCCGGTGCCTCCAGCCTGGAGGAAGGGCCCTGTGCCTTTAAGACAGCCCTCCTTTGTGTGCGCTGTAGTGGGGGGCACATTTCAGCCCTGGGTTCCTGCCCACTGGTGAAATCTGCAGAGCAACATTTAAATAAAGAAACAAACAGAAGCTTCCCTTGTGAGGCTTTTCTATTCACAGCCGAGCACAGTGGCCCCTTGTTGTGGGCACTTTCATCTCCTTCGTTAAATCAGAGCCTGCGAGGGGACAGCGGGGGCCAACAGCGGCGTCCCAGTCCCAGTGCCCTGAGCAGGACACCTTGTAGACGAGCCCCTGGGCCTGGGGCCCCTCCGGCTCTGCTCTGTGTCCTCTGTGCGTGGGCTGCGCCCCCCGCCATCGCCATTCTTTGAGCGAGAAGAGGGCTCAGCTGCCTTCCCGGCACAGAAGCGTGGCCACAGCACGTGGCAGTCATCAGGGGAGGGGTGTCGCCGCTCTGCCATCTGGCCCGTCTGCCCATCTTCCGCAGTGTGACCCGCACAGCCACACGGGAAGCCCTGGCCTGGTCGGGTGCCCTTCCCCGGGCCCCGCGCTCCGCCCCCACCGGGGCCAAGGGTGGAGTGGACGTGGCTGCCTGAGGCCCAGCTCCTGCGGCCGCCAGGGCCCTGCCTGCCCCCAGCCCGAGCTCGGACTCTGCTGTCTCCCCACGTGACGCGTTTCGTCGTGGAGGTGGTTCCCCGGGGGGCAGTGTGAGGAGGCAGGTGTGATGCTGCGTCCGCGTAAGTTGAAGCAGAGGAAGACACGCTAGTTCAATACTGGAATTTTTCTCATCTCAGAGCGAAATTCCATTAGAAAGATGAGATCTAACGGTCTATAGAATCTGCTTTTTGAAAAAGTTTTAGATGACTTTTTTGAACCAGAAGGGAAGCAGCACCCCACTTCATAGTGATCCCCCGTGAGAGGGAGACGCAGTTGGCGGACTGTGGGTCGGGGTCAGGGCACGTCAGATGGAGGGAGCGCCGCCCCACCCGCGGGTAGGCCAGAGCCAGTTCCCGGTCACCGCTGGGGCCCTGCAGGCCTGTCTTCCCCGTGACCGCTTGGCCACGTTTTTGTCTCTGTTTGGAAGTGTGGTGGCACCTGAACACGCCATTCAAGCCGGTGGCTGGAAGCTCACCTCCCGTGACCTCACCCTCAGACCCGCCCCCAGGAGCAGCCGCTGCCCACTCCCCTCATCGTCATACCTCCCACAGGTGCTGCCAAGGTCACCGTCAGTGTTCACCCGTCACAGGTCACGCCGTCAAAGTCAGGGGCTGGCTCTTAACCCTGGGTTTCGAGTCCGCGATCTCATACCTCCCACCTCCCTCCCTAAGAGGGAGCCCGGGGCCCTACTTGCCTGCCTCGTTTGCTCTGTGACCTGGGGCAGCCTCTGGGCCATGTCTGCTGGTTGACCCTGGAGTTACCTTGCACACCGCACACGACAAGGACTGCCTGCTGATGGCCTGGAGCCTGGGCCCTGTGAGAGCTCCCTCTGCTGGGAGCTGTCCCTGCCCCGGAGTGGTCCCTCCGGTGATGGGCCTTGCTCACACCAGCCCGGTCCTTCTGTTCTGGCCTGGAGTTTCCAGTGTGGAGTGAGGAGACTGGCCCCTCAGGGCGCACAGGGTCCGGGCACACCAGCACCTCACACTTTGGGTCCGCCTTTCATCAGCCTCCTGCTGAGGGCCTCCGGCTCGCCCCAAGCCCTGTCTGTGGCTTCAGAATCAAAGCCCTGCTGGTCATTCCCTGCAGAGTAGCTATTAACAAGGGGGTATCACCTCAAAAGTTCAAAACCATGTTGTGTTAGGATGAGAACTTGTCTTCTGGAACCTCCGGAAATTAGCATCTTTGGGGACACCCAGCGCTGGTGGACCAGAAGTGTCCCCCTGTCCGTGAAGTGCAGAGCCACCAGAGCGAATCAGGTGTGCTTGCCCCAGAACAGGGCGAGCCTCTCCGGCGGGCGTGCGGTTTCCCACGGGGGGTTGCTCCGATGCAGCTGGTGTGCTGTCGGTCTGACCTTCTCCCGAGACTAACGCTCACGCCGGAGTTCTCAGGGCCAAGTGCAGCAGGGCCCCGCTGGGACACAGAGCTGTCCGTGGGCTGCAGCTCCGTCCTAGCCCTGAGAGCCACGCAGGAGAAGTACCCGTGGAGCTCACCCATAGAGGGGCGTTAGCTTTGACACCGCCACGCGTGGGGCAGCTGGGCGGCGATGTCAGATGCTTTCGGTGGGCCTTGGGGTGTGGAAGGCACTTGGCTGGAGAAAGGGGAGGAAAGACGGCATGAAAAGAGCGACCCCCGCGGCCGACTTCACGGCGGCCTGTTGTTTCTACCCTTCGTTGTCTCACGCGGTGTTTACGGACTGTTTGGGGGAAGGCACCGCCCCTCGGCTGAGTGGACGCGGTCTCAGGGCTGCCGGTCAGCGGGCGCCCTGCCGGCTCTCAGGAGAGCGGCCCCAGCTCAGTCTGCCCAGGAGAGATGGGGGAGCGTGGGTGCGGCGGTCCTTTCTGGTGGCACCCCTGGGGTCAACTAAAATGACAGCTCTCACAAGTCGTGAGTCCGGTGTGTGAGCAGTTCAGAACCTCAGCAAGGAGAGACTGCTGTTCTGTGTGCAGTCAGGCGTGTGCGCAGCGTGCTCCTGCCGGCTCACCGCCCCCGGCGCTGACCTCCTGGCCTGCCTAGATGTCAGGCCCTGGCGGGGGCGGAGCCAACACGCTCCTGCTGGGCACCAGACAGGGTTCAGGCCATCGGCTCTCGGACTCCGTCTGCACAGCGCCGATGGGGGGTGGCACCCCCACTTTGCTGGGGATGCAGCGTGGCCCGAGCCAAGCAGGCCCAGCGCCCGTGCGGCGAGCTGCCTGGTGTGTGGTGGGCGAGGGCCGGGCCTGCCTGGCACCAGTGCTCCACATTCCCGGGGCCCCGAGGCTCCCAGCAGGGTCGGAGGGCACAAGCTCATTTCAAAACATCGTTCAGACCTGGTGGCAGGTGTGAGGCCTTGAGACAGGTCCCCAGAGTCCAGCAGTGTTCTCAGCTGGGGGCGTGTCCTGGTAGTTTCTCCTCTGCACGTGCAGCCCCCCCCCTTGCCCTCCGGGGAGGCGCACACAGCCTTTGTGCTCTGCAGTGGTCCGTCCCCTTGCCGCCTGAGGTGTCACAGATGGCACTCCACGTTGGGGCTGGACTCGGAGGGAGCCGAGGTCAAAGGGGTTGGCCGACCAGCCCCGCCCCCTGTCTCCTTTTCCTTTGACGCGTCTGGTGGCCTCTGGACTTCACTTACGTTTTGACAGGATGAAACCTTCTAACCTCTTCTCTTTCCATGCAGTCCCCAGTGACCTGACTGTGGAGGAGCGTCAGGAGCTGGAGAACATTCGGCGCAGGAAGCAGGAGCTGCTGGCCGACATTCAGGTAGGGGCCGCCAGGTGCCCGGGTGCAGGCGTCCTCTGCAGAGTGTGTTGGAGTGGTCGCCCAGTGGGTGGGGGTTGGGGCTCAGAGGTTTGTGGCCTGTGCGCTCCACCAGCCGGTCAGTGGTCAGAGGCAGCGCCGCCTTCGGGCTCCAGGCTCCAGACCCCGGGCCTCGGGTGAGGGTGTGACTGAGCACAGGGCCGGCCCACGTGCAGCAACTCGGACGAGTGGCGTCCCAGGCCCAAGTTTCAGCTCCTGGCCCTGCAGTTCCGCCCTCTGGAGGGTAGGATGGGAACGCCTGCCGTGGCCGAGTGAGTTCCTGGTTGTGCAGGACCTGGCGGGGCTGCTGGTCACACAGATGTGTCGTCAGCCATAAATGCCAGTCAGGGCCAGCAGGCTTCGTGGGACGAAAGTCTCCGGAGCCGCTAGCTGGGCTCTTTCCCCCGAGGCAGCAGGCGTTCCTCTGGGGTTCTCCGTGAGATACTTGGGAGCTTGGGCGCAAGGGGGCGCCCTGGCAGGCACCCCGTGCTGCGGTGTGCAGAGGAAGTCGGAGCTGCTGTGGTGCCGGCTTCTGGGCACTGTGGTCACTTGCCCTGATGCTTCCACTGCTGTGTCCCTGGTGGATTCGGGGAGAGGGAGCCCCTTGTGGTGACAGTCCACACCGACATGCGAGGGCGGGAGGGAGGCGGGAAGCAGGCCCCTGGCTGGCATCCTATCTCCACTGCTGTTTGGCAGCTGCGTTGGCCTGCAGGCACCTCAGGGGAGGATGGGTAGGGGGCTTGCGGGGCCTCCTGGGGGTCAGTAGGTGCCTCTCACCTTGGTGTCCACTTTTACTATTGGGAGGAGGTCAACATTTGTGCACTAGAAGAGCTTTTCAAAGTGTTTTACATTTTTTTTGTTTGTCTGATTTCACTTCATTTTGTTTTTCGTTGGAAGGAGTTCCATGGGATTTCAGAGGCTTTGACCTGATGCGCACCCTCCTCTCTAGTGACCGTGCACTGTCTGTTTTGCAGAGGCTGAAGGATGAGATAGCAGAAGTAGCCAACGAGATCGAAAACCTGGGGTCCACAGAAGAAAGGTGAGCCTGTCACTCTGGTGCTTTTGAGGAGAAAAGTGTGTCTTCTGCATGTTTCCTCGTGCACACGTATGGAGCCGTCCTTGCTGCCTGCCACCCTTTGGTGCAGGGCTCATGGCTGAGCCGGCTGCTGCGGTGGCAGGAAGGTTGGACCGAGGGGCGTGGCGGGCTGCAGCACCTCCCGCGCCCTCCGTGCACTGCGTCTGGGAGCCCGTCTGGGAGCCGGCTGGGCCTGGGGCCACCAGAGCTTGTTCCTGCCGCCCCAGCCGCTAGGAGGGCAGGGCCCGTAGAAACGGACAGTGCGGAGCAGCAGGGAGCAGCTGCGGGTGGTTGTCCTTCTAACCGCGCGGGCGCTGAGAGCGGGGCTGTGAACGGGGCTCCCAGACCATTTGCCGGCTGCTTAATGGGCAGGGGGGCCCCTCTGGTTCACACACGAATCTGTGTTCCTGAGCCCGGCCCCTGACTCCGTGGGGCCTCCAGGCGAGTGTGGGCGGGGCTGTTGGCACGGAGGCTGCCTGTGTCCCGGGCAGCGGCGGCTCCTGGCTGCCGGTCCGTGCTGTCGGCGTCAGGGCGCAGCTTCCCTTTCGTTCTCGGAAACTTGCAGCTTAAAGGAAACGGACAGTTGGAGTGCAGCAGAACTGAAGTGTCTGCCCTGATAAAAGATACTGTTGAAAGGCACAAACAGGCAAGCTACAGATGAGGCAAAAATATTTGCAGTGTCTGCATTTGAGGATTTGTAGCCAGAATATATAGTATATAAAGAACACATGCAGTTAAAAAAAATGACAGCACAAATAAAAAATGGGCAAAACACTTGAAAAGACCCTTTGTAAGTGGAGCCCCACGTACAGTAGACCCGTGAAAATGCCCACTGTCACCAGTCATGAGAGGACGCCGTCCCGCCCCACAGGGCAGAACAGCTGGTGGGCCCCGTGCTGGGGAGGCTGGCGAGAGCCAGGCAGACGCCGTGCGGCTCCCAGCAGTGCCATCCGGGCACCGCCCTCGAGAGAAAGGAGGCCTGCCCGTGGGTGGCTCGTGCGGAGTGGCGAGGCAGCGTCTGCCAGCAGGCGGAGGGGCGAACGGGGAGGGGACCGGTTGCTGACGCGCACAGCGTCCACTCCGGGCTGAGGAGGGTGCCGGCTGTGGGGCAGCTGCACACCTCAGCTTACGGAACGTCATCCTAGGGCACGCGGAAATGGGACTAGGTGAGGTGAGTTACAAGTTAATGCAGTTCAAAAACGCCTGCGCAAGAAAGCACCGGGAGCAGAAGGGGCACCTGAGCGTGGGTCCGGCGGAGACTCCACCTGCGCCTCCCCGGGCAGACCCCCCGGAAGCCCCTGCTGTGCTGCACGCACGTGGGAGCCGGGTCCTGAAGCAGCTCTGGCGGTTGTTTCGCAGGAAGAACATGCAGAGGAACAAGCAGGTGGCCATGGGCAGGAAGAAATTTAACATGGACCCTAAGAAGGTAGGAGAAGAGGACATGTGGAGCCACGGGCCTGGGCTGGGCCCGCTGGTCTCGGCTCTCGTGACACACTGCCCTCCGTGGGCGCCTCTGTGTCCAGAGCCCCTCTACCCTGCCCCCATGCCCCTCGCCTCCCTTTCCGGACGTTTCTGGGGTGGGCACCCTCAGCATCGCCGCTGTGCTTTTCAGGGGATCCAGTTCCTCATCGAGAACGACCTGCTGCAGAACACCTGCGAAGACATCGCCCAGTTCCTGTACAAGGGCGAGGGCCTCAACAAGACGGCCATTGGGGACTACCTGGGGGAGCGGTGAGCCCAGGGACGCTGGGGGCAGGGCGGGGCGTCGGGGGTCACATGGGGAAGCTTCAGAGCGCTGAGTTCTTCCTCCTCCTGGATTTTATTTATTTACTGTTAGAGAGGTGAAGGGAAGGAGAGAGGGAGGGAGGGAGGTAAGCAGGCTAACGCTCAGCCCGCTGAGCCACGCCAGCCAGGGCCAGAACGCCGAATTCTTCATGAGAGTTTGTCCCGAGGCAGCAGCGCCCACATGGGTGGCTTGGCCCTGGGGACAGTGGCCAGTGTGCAGGGGCCGGAGTGCGGGGAGATGGGCCTTCTGCCCTGGGTGGGGTCCCGAGCCCACAGGACTCGGCGTGGGGAACCGCCGGCGGGAGCTGGGGAAGCCTGGGTTCTCGGTGCCTGACACCCGCCGCCCCCGCCCGCACCTCGCTTCTCTCGACAGAGACGAGTTCAACATCCAGGTTCTTCACGCGTTCGTGGGCCTGCACGAGTTCACCGACCTCAACCTCGTCCAGGCCTTACGGTGAGTGAGTGAGTGAGCCAGTGACGGGGGTGAGCAGGGTGAGCGCCTGCTCGGGCGGGGGAGGCAGGTCTTCGGGTGCCGGCCCCTGGGGCATTCCAGCCGGAGTTACTCCGGCCCCCGGGGGCAGAGGGTGCGGAGCGGCCCCAAGGCGCGCTGTGCAGAGCTCTTCCTCGGGCTTTTCACTGCCTCTCTCGAATCGGGCGTGTGTTTAAATTCTGGAGTCTTTTCTGGTTTTTAGTTATGGAAGGCTCTGATTTGTGGCCCCAGACTAGGAAGTGGGTGGTCGCGCCGTCCGTTGAGAAGGCGAGGAGACCAGTGTTTCACCGAGTCCATGGCCTCCTGCCTCGGGGAAGCCGTCATTCTGGGCTCTTCCTGCCGTGGCGTGAGAGGTGGTGCCAGTCTGTGCGGTCGCATGGACGGGGGACCTGGTGCGCACTGGCCCTGCTGGCCACTGTCCCCACTCTGGTGGCCAGTCCTTTTCTTGCACCTGGTCTTGTTTTCTGAAGGGCAGAGTTCACGAAGGGAGAACCGCATCCCTGTTTCCGTCCGTGTGCTTTTCTGAGGGGAGGCCCGCCCTTCCGACCAGGAAAACGCTCGTTTTCTGCTGGTCCCCGGACGTCCTCCCTGTGAATGGGAGAGTAGTGCTCGGTGGCGATCCGAACCGGGTGGTCCTCACACAGCCCAGCCCTGAGGGTGTCCCCGTGCCCTTGGGCAGAAGGATCGCCACGAGAGTGAAGAGTCAGGGAGGGGGCACCGCACCCCCAGCCCTGCGACACAGCCACCTTGGTCCCACAGGCAGTTCCTGTGGAGCTTCCGGCTGCCGGGAGAGGCCCAGAAGATCGACCGGATGATGGAGGCGTTCGCCCAGCGGTACTGCCAGTGCAACCCCGGGGTGTTCCAGTCCACGGGTAGGCGGCTGGCACCGCAGCACTTCCCGGGGGGGGGGGGGCCCGGCCTGGGGACGTGCACTCTGACGGCAGTGACAGCAGCAGCGGGAGGGGACCGCCGGAGTCCAGTCGTGAGGAGTGGAAAGTAACGTGCGAATCATCAAGTTATGTAACTTAGAACTCATGTTTTTACAGAGTTTATTGATATAGGGAAATGCTAATAAGATTAGCAAAAAGCAGGATTCCAAACCATGTGTCGGCTCTGGCTCCAGTGGGGCGGCCACGTGCCAGTGGGGCGCAGGAGCAGGGCACAGGCTGCAGGGGCCGCGAGGGAGCGGGGTGTAGGCGACTTCTGCTTTCTTCTTCTCCGGACACTGGTTTTCCCAGTTCCCTGCAGGGCACCGTCTGTCACTGTCAGAGACAGCGAGCCCCTGGCGCCCGGACGCTGGTTTGTCACCTTGCTCTCTCCAGCAGCGTGTGCGGCTGCTCCGTGAGGGGTTCCCAGCTCTAGGCCTAGACTGCACCGGGCACTTCCCCTTCTGCCGCGGACGTTTCTGATTGTCCCTCCCCCTTCTAGACACGTGCTATGTCCTCTCGTTCGCCATCATCATGCTGAACACCAGCCTGCACAACCCCAACGTCAAAGACAAGCCCACGGTGGAGAGGTTCATCGCCATGAACCGGGGGATCAATGACGGCGGGGACCTGCCCGAGGAGCTGCTACGGGTGAGTGCGCGCGTGGACCCCCAGTGGGGCGCAGGGCCTGGGCTTCTCTCTTGCTGGGGCGTGTGCGTCCCCTTTGGAAGTGGGTGTTGCAGGTCGGGCTGCTTTCTGCCCGTCCTGGGTCTTCCACCAGGCCTCCCACTTGTTCTGAAGACGGGAGCCCAGTCCTTAGTGCATCCAGGAGCGCTTGATGCAGGCGGGGGCGGGGGGGGGCAGGGGTTGGGCGGTGGAGGGAGGGAGGTGCCTCGGGGGCCAGAGACATGCAGGGCTCCTGTCACCCAGAATCTCTACGAGAGCATAAAAAACGAGCCTTTCAAAATCCCCGAAGACGACGGGAATGACCTCACTCACACTTTCTTCAACCCAGACCGCGAAGGCTGGCTCCTGAAGCTTGGTAAGTGACGCCCTGGTGTGGGGCCCCCCGGACACCTAGAGCAGGTGTGCACGCTTGCACACACGTGCCCCCACTGTGAGGGCACGGGGGCGCCGCGGCACCGTGGAGGGGCTTTGGTGTGAAGTCACACTGTGGCTGCAAGAGCCACCTCCAGAAAGGAAGTGAAAGCCAGCAGCACCCCCAGGGGACGTTAGAGACATGTGGGGCAGACTTCACTCCGCCACGGAAATTGCCCGCGTGCGTTTGCACGCCACGTGTCCGCTCTGGAAGTGATGGCCTGGTCCTCTTCCCACCCCGCCCCGCCCCTCTTCCTCACGGGCAGGGCCTGCTGCATCCATCTCTCCACCTCCCATCGCACAGGTGTGCACCCCGCGCCCGCCCCTCCAGTGCATCATCATGCTCGCACCTGGCTCCCACAGGCCGCATGCATGGCGCACCGCGACCCGGCTGCCGCGCCACCCGCAGCCCCTCCTCCTCCCCTTCCCAGGCCTGGTCAGTCCTGCTGGTGGTTCTGTTCACCCCGAAAGATCAGAAAGTCCTCTTCCCGTGGGCCAGAGTGGGCTTGTGGGGCTGAGACTTGTGCCCTGAAGGTGCTCAAGTAACCAAGAGAAGGAGGATAGTGGGGCTTCCGCGACATCCCTGTCCACACACAGTGACAGCCCCTGCATCCCGGACACACAGGAGTGTCGGTCTTTGGGCTGTTGAGAGGGTTTCCCTTCGGCCTCTCATAGCGTGGGTCCCATGGCGTCAGGCTGCCAGCCAGCCTGTCCCTCCTGCACCACTTCAGCCGCTGGGCAGGGGTCAGAGCCCTGCCCCTGGCTGTGACCAACACAGCTCTGCCTTGTCCCGACACAGACGGTCTGCATTTCCTGTGGGAGGGAGGCCTGCGTCCCTGGTGACCTAGCCCATAAAGTGAGGCCTCACCGGTTAGGATTTTAAGCTGATGAATTAGCCGACATTCCATCTACATTTAAGCCAGTGGAATCCAAGTTACTAACCGCAGAGGCGGCCACTGTGCTTGAGTCTTCAGTGCCAAGTGGCTCGAGTTTAATGGGGGCCTGCTGGAAACTGAGCAAGAGCACCCGGGTTTGCAGCGACGCCTCCCAGCGAAGTGTGTTGAAGCACTGGTGCGGAGGGGTGGCATGCTCGTGTTGACAGCCCAATGCTGAAATTAGAACATTGGGAGACTCTCTTGGTTTTTGCACCAGGACATGCAAATTCATGAGATTTCCCGTAATTTTAAACAGAATTTAACTAAGCGTGGGGCCCGATTTTTTGATCACTGTGTTCCTTTTGCCCAGCCCCCACCAAACTATCCTGACACCTGTGCTGCTCAGGGCAGGGACCCCGGGCGCACACAGCTGCAGGCCGTGCTCTCCGGGGTGTGCGCACACTTTCCAAAGGGCGGGCAGCTGACAGAAGGCCGTGACTGTCCCTCCGAGTAGGTGTCGTGTGACCGAACGGATGGCAGCTCTGTGAGAACTCAGTTGCAGCATCCTCAGGGCCAAGTTCTGTAGCACCTTAGCCAGCCAGCCTTGACCCTTGACCCCTGACCCCATGGGCTACAGCTGATGAGCCCCTCCCTCCAGCCTCACCCCAGGCAGCCGGGAATGACTGATGCCTTGCACTTGGAGACTGAGGAGCCGGGTTGGATTTCTTTGTTTTAATTTTCTTTTCTCCCTCATTTGTATGTTTCCATGATTTTGGCTCTCCTTTTCCCCGCCCCAAACTCCAGGAGGTACGTAACCCCCGCCCTGCTCGCTCGCCCCGCCCAGGCCTCTGTGACGCTACAGCTTCTTCTTTTATTGTTTTTGGTCATTTTCTTTTTAATTGCTGGTGGTAGTGTTGATGCTGCTTCTAACCTCTCGTACAGTCCCTAAGGAACTGGCCAGGGTCCAGAGCCGCCGTCACCGTTCCCCGTGTAGGCGTGGTGCACGGCGGCCACACGGCGGGGCTCGGGGCTGAGAACACGCACCTCCCCATGCAGACAGCGCCCGCCCAGCTGTCTCTCGGTTACTGGCCGGAGAACACGCTCCGTCTCAGTTGACACTGTGAACTCAGAAGTAATTTCCAGGGTGGAGGAGAGGAGGAAGGCGTTCTGACCTCCTGCAGCCGCCACTTCTGGTCCGTGGTGAGCGGACAGGTCTGGGTCACGCGGCTTGGGAGACGTTGACCTTTTCACAGAAAGGAGATGGTGTTTCCTACGCAGAGAGCGCTGCCAAGTAGAACTTTTTTTTAGAAAAGACAAAAATCAAAAACTCCTCCTGGAAGTCCCTTTGCTTCATTTCCCAGGTGTTTGGGGAGAGCATTCAGACTTCAGCCCTGTGTTTGTCCCTCCTCTTCGACTCAGTGAGTCACCGTTAGCCACCCCGCATCAGCCTCAGTTGCGTGGCTCAGATCCACTCTGCAGTCGCTGAGCTGGGGACACGAGATTTCCCAGGCGAGGAAATCAGCTGTCGGCTTAAGCCCGACTTGGGCAAAACGGCCCAGAGGAAGAAGCCCCTCCCAAATGGTGACGTGCATTAAAACATCTGGGGACCGGCAGGTTGTTCCCGCCCCAAAGGCCTCTGGCCTAGTCCACCTTGGGTTCAGGGGCCCTGAGGAGGAGGTGGCCCTGTGAGTTCCACAGGGACTGTCCTAGGCGCGCAATGACCTGTCTGCTTGCTTCGTGTCTGTGTTTCCTTCCCCACGGAAGCGCCCCTCTGGGGCCGCAGCGATGCTTCTGGTGGAGACCCTGCAGCACCGCGGGCGGTCGGGGACAGCAAGCTTCCTCAGCCGGGGGCGGCGTCCAGCTCTGCTTTTCCTGCCAGACTCCCTCCCATCCTGCTCTGTCATCAACCATTCCCATGACTTCCTGAGCCTGGGCGCTCGGGCGGCCCTGCCCCCAGGGGAGTGCGTGGTCACCGGCGGGGGAGCAGTGTTCTGGGGGCTGAGCCCTGGGTGGGGATGGAGGCCCTAGAAGGGGAAGAGCCGAGTTCTCGACCCCAAAATGGGGAGCGGGGTTCTTTTTATGTCAAAACGGCTGCAGTTCTAAGTAAACTGCTTGTGTCCCGTCTCATTCATTTCGCTCCGCCCTGCTCCCTGCTTCCCACATGCATGTCGTCTCCATCCGTGGTCCCTCGAACCCGTGCCTTCGGGGGGGGGCGCACGTGCTCCAGGGGCCGTCACGCCGCAGCGGGGAGAGTCAGTCTGCAGGGCACCGGCCAGGCCTGGCGGGGGCCGGGTGTGCTTGCTGCGCACACCCTTCCGTGACTAGGGTTGGTGCCGGGCCGCACCTGGGCCTTGGCCGTCCACCTCTGAACCTCCCGAGAGTCCAGGCACCACATGCTCCGGACACTAGGACGGGGACTGAAGCCACACGCTTCGCTGCCTGCCGCTTCTCGCAGGGCCCCCACACCGGCCCTCTCGGGCGGGCGCACAGGCGTGCCCTGGCGGCTGGAGCGCGCCCTTCAGAGCCGCCTGCCCTGTGGGATGAGGCAGGAGGGGAGGTGTGACCAGGGTCCCACTGTGTAGATGGCCCGGCGGCCCCCCCTCTGCAGGCCGAAGCTCAGCCAAGGAGCCGCGCCGCCTGGGCAGTGAAACACACAATGTGGATGCCCCTGCCCCCGGCCCGGGGCCGCCGCGTACTGTGCACGGCTCTCGGCCCAGAGCTTCCCCTTGACCCGCCGTGCGCAGAGGAAGGGGAGGTCGCGATGCTCTCATTCGAGTGGGTCACGGCCGGGCTCCCTCCTCAGCGTCCATCTCGCAGGAACTTCAGGCCCTTCCACCCCCCACCGTGCTTTCCCTTCAGCGGAGAATTATCAGAAGGACTCAGGGAAGTGTCCCCGGCTCACAGCTGCCACTCGCACTCAGGTGGCCCCTCGTCTGGCTGTCCCTGTTAGGTTTTCCAGGGAGAGGCCCGGGGTGCAGCAGGCCCGGGAGGGTCCCTCATCCCAGTAAACCCTCCCGAGGCAGGGCTCGGGGACGTTCTGGCTCTAGGACACTGGCCCAGAAGCCTAAAGCCAGGGTGGGTGCGTTCCTGGTGCCCAGGAGGGCGCAGTCACACGTCCGAAGGAAGCCACGGGTTGGATGGAGATGGGACCACAGCGTCCTTTCTCCCACTTCCTCGCTGGCCCCTCTGACGACGCTCCATGCAGCGGGGTGGCGGGCCCGGCATTGCAGCCTGCACCAGGGGCTGGCCCTCTCCCCCCCCCTTTTTTTTTGTTTGCCCATTTCCACCAAGAGAGGCTCTCCAGCCATGTCAGATGTCACAGCCCGCCCCCAGTGTCCCGGGTGCCCCTCACCACGGCCCTGCTCTCAGCCTGCTCTCATCCGCTTCCCGGGTCATCTCCAGGGGCCGCCTGACTTGCTTGCTCTGCTCATACCCACAGACTTTCACTCCGTGAAAGGCGCTTCTGTCTGGCTCTGTGTCTTGTTACCGATGTGAACCCTGCCATGCTCTCCGTGTCTGCCCGGTGCCCTGCCCTCGCTTCCTCCCCTCGCACAGAGAGGAGCTGCGTGCCACGGGCCCACCTCGTCCCCCACCCCCAACGACACGCGTGTCTCTCTGCTCCGTAGGCGGCAGGGTAAAGACCTGGAAGAGGCGCTGGTTCATTCTGACTGACAACTGCCTGTACTACTTCGAATACACCACGGTGAGCACCCCGCGCAGCCCCCGGCCAGGGGTGGGCTCGGGCTCCGCTTCTGAGGCGGCAGGGAGACCCCAGGCTTGTCCACATCGCCAGGGCCGGGAAGAGGGTTTAGGGGAGGAGAAGGACTGAGGCCCCAGAACTGGGAGCCCTGGAGGTGTGGAGTGCCTTGCCCACGTCCCGGTCAGGCCTGGGCCCAGAGGAGGCAGGAGAGAGGTGGGTGCGCGTTGCTGCAGAAACAGGGTTAGGAGCTGGGCAAGAAGGGGTGAACTTGGATCGGTTGCCAAGGAAGGGTGTGTGGCCTGTGGGAGGGAGGTGACACTAAGCACAACCTGGGGGCTTCGGACGTCCCGGGGCAGTGGAGATGCTGAGTCATTTGATTCAGAAGAGGCGGCCGCCGGGAAGTGTGTGACGGGTGAGGACGCGGGCTGGAGTGGGGAGCGCTGGAGGTTGTCCGGGGCTGGGCGCTGGCACGCCGTCGAGCCGGAAGCCGTGTCGGTTTTATTCGCTGGGAAAGGGCTCAGACCCGGGTTCCGTCTGAGTCCCTTTTGCAGGAAGAGCCCACGAGGGTAAAGCCCTGCTGGCAGAGCACGTGGAGGGCCCGGAACGGCCGCTGGCTCCCGCGCACCGCCCTCCCCGGTCCCCTGGACAGCAGGGCCCACAGCTGCACCCCGCCTGCAGTTGGTCCCCGTGGGCAGGGAGCGGGGAGGCTGCGCTTGGTCCCGCCCGTCTTCACTGGCTGAGAGTTGTCCCGCTGGGGACTCGGGGCTTCCCTACTGCGTGTGTGGCGTCCAAAGCGGGCTGGTGCTAAGACACGTGGCCGGAGCCCTGGTAACCGGGCGGGGCCAGGGCCCAGGACATGGCGCCCACCCTGCCCATTGCCACTCGGGGGCCAGCGGGTTTCTGCTGTCTCCACACCTCAGCCCCTCACCAGTGCGGCCGTCCCCAGGACAGGGCCAGGTTTGCAGCGGCGGCTCAAGCTTGGTCACCACTCCAAGTGCCGTTTGCAGTGGCTCTCGGTGACTCACTGCTGCTTACCTCTGCACCTGGCGCATTGCTTTTCTGGTGTCCAGGTCCTTTCAAGTGTCAGAGAACTTCCACGCCCTGCTGTGTATGGTGTGCAGTTTTTTGCCCGAGTGTTGGAAGGAAAGATAAGGGTGTGCACTGTGCACGGTGTCGTGACCCCGTGCGACGCACACAGGGTGTGGGTGTGCATCATGCACAGCAAACACACAAGCTTCCAATGCACCGAACAGTAAGAACATAGATGCCCCGTTTCACACTGCAGGACGCTACTCCTACGAGCAGTTCGACGGCTTTCTTCCTCCCTCCCCCACCCGGGGTGTCTCTTTCCCTAAAGACATCTACACTGGGGAGGTCCTTAGAGTCTCGTCTGAACTTCCGGCGCTGGTGTCTGGGTCAGAAACATACGGGCTCCCACAGAACCTGCCCTGAGTGCCAGGGCGGTCTCCCTAGTAACTCAGTGGGGCCCCGGAACCTCCCGGTTCCTCGAGGCCCAGCAGCGGCATCACTGAGCCCTGCTCCGAGGCACGCCCGCCCCCGTGGGGCTGTGGGGCGCAGCAGGAGCCCTCGGGGGTCCCATGGTAGGCGGGAACTTCCACACGGCTCCGGGACAGAAGGAAGTTCCAGTAGAAGGGATGGGAACAGCGAGTGGAACAGGAGCCGGAACAGGACCAGGGCGCTGCGGGGAACTCGGCAGCCAGGCCAGCCCGTGGCCTCAGCGTGGGACAGGCACACGGGCAGGCTTCTCCCCTCTTCCTCTTTCCCGTGCTGGCGTCCTCGCTGTGGCGGAGAGGAAGTCAGTGATGACAAAACGGGGCTCCCTCTCTGCAACACCCAGCGGGGCTCCCGGCCGAGTACTTGCTGGGGAAACTGCCCGTGGAGGGCGCCTGCAAGCACCCCGCCCTCCCCGGGCAGACCCGTGACCTCTGCGTCGGGCGGGGGCAGTCCCGGGGCACAGTCAGAGCCGGGGGTCTGGGAGGCCCCGCCCCTCCACTCACTTTTCCTCCTGAGACTGTGGAAGTTTCCAGAATACAAGATACCCAGCCCTCCTGGAGTCTCAGGCCTGAAACAATGAATACCAAAGCTACATCTTCAGAGTGTAACTACTTAATTATAACTTACTTACGAAGAAGTAAGGTACAACTTTGAGGGTTAGAACAGACCACTGACACATGCGGTAATCCCTCCCACAGAGGAAAGGCTGGAGGGGGCAGCAGCGGTCCAGGAGGCTGCAGCTGGGAGAGCCGAGGTGGGGGGCTGGGTGGGGGAGGGCAGGCAGGCAGACAAAAAAGGAAAAACCCAGTAATAAACAAAACTCACAGGCGCAGACTGCAGCATGGTGATGACTGGGGGGGGGGGGGGGGGGCAGGGCGGGCAGAGAGGGTTTGGCGGTGCACGGTGGTGGGAGGAGACTGGACTCAGGCTGATGAGTGTAACGTAACACAATGTAACATGTGGCTGACCTGGTATCGAATTGTACCCCTGAAACCTAGATAAGTGTATTAGCCAGTGCCACCCCAACAAATTCAATAAAATAAAAGCGCAACGGGAACATTTAGGGACAAGGTAACGGCATGGAGGACAGGTAAAAATGAGCCCAGTACCAGAATAATTGCACCTGCAAAGACAGCAGATTATTGGCCCAAAAAGGAGGAGAAACTGACCTGCAGGTCCAAAGAGTGCCTGGCGTCTCAGGCCCATCTGCACGGGAAGCCGGCTCCAGGGCTTAGCCCTGCCGAACTGGTGAGTTGGGGCCAAGTCTTTGGCCGAGGCTGGCTGGACGTCGGGGACAGGGAGGTCAAGACTGGCGTCTGATGTGTGTAGGCACCTGTGCGGCAGTGACCCCTGTGAGCCAGGAAGCCCTGGAGGAGGGCCTGGCCATGCCCAGGCAGGAGGTGACGAACTGGGGCGACCTGTGGTGCAGCTGTCGTCCCTGGCACTGGGGCACCTAGGACCAGACTAGGGTCTTTCGGGGCAGCTGACTCGGAACCGAGGCTTAAAAGATGAGCAGGGCCCGGGCAGAGAGGTGTGCGTTTTCTGTGCGAAGGGCTCACCTGTTCTGTCCCGAGGACCAGTCGCTCTCACGGGGCATCTGTCAGACCCCTGGGCGTGCTCCTCGCAAAGGTCCGTGGTGATGGAGACTTGGGTTGGCACCTGGACAGCACTCTGCGTTTCCTGCCGCTGCTTTTGTTTGAGAGTATCTGGCGTGGGCCCGGCTGAGTTGGGAGGAGGTGGGAGGAGGTGGGTGGTCCAGGGTGAGTCCTATAACGGGTGTGGTGTGTGCGCAGACCGAGCCCTGAGGCCTCTCCCTTGAGGCCGTCTGTGATGGTCTCTGTGATGGTCTCTGTGATGGTCTCTTGTAGGACAAGGAGCCCCGGGGGATCATCCCTTTGGAGAATCTGAGCATCCGGGAGGTGGAGGACTCCAAAAAGCCAGTGAGTACTGTTTGGTGACTCAGGACCAAAGGGGTGGGCGTGGCAGTTCTTTGAAGAGGATTAAAGTACGAAGGTTTCCTTACAAGTAAAACAGAAGTGCCCCGTCGTACCTAGAACCTCAGTGGCGCCCGCCACTGACCCTCACCCCAGAGGGGCAGAACCGCCCCTCTTGAGAGGGCAGCCCCAGCAGCCTCACGATCCGGCTCCCTGTCTCAGGAGCTCCGGGGCCCTGCGAGTGTCGTCCCCACATCTGGGAGCGTTGTGGTCTCGCTGGCTCACTGCGGGGGCGTCTCTGCCACCAGCTGGCGGCACACGGTCCCCGTTCCCGGTCTGCGGAGCTCACCTCCAGGCTCTGCCCTGCAGGGCCCCGCTGCCTGTGCTTCAGGGAGGTGGCGGGAGGGGCTTTGGGGACCTGAGCGCCGCTCGTCCTTGGTCACAGCGCTCTCGGCCCCGGGTGACCACCCCCTCTGGTTCTCAGAACTGCTTCGAGCTGTACATCCCGGACAACAAGGACCAGGTCATCAAGGCCTGCAAGACGGAGGCCGACGGGCGCGTGGTGGAGGGGAACCACACCGTGTACCGCATCTCCGCCCCGACGCCCGAAGAGAAGGGCGAGTGGATCAAGTGCATCAGGTACGTGCTGCCCGCACCCTGGGGCCACGGGTCTCTCAGGTGCCGTCCTCTGTCGAGGGCACCGCCAGCCCCAATCGCGCTCCTCGAGGTAAATTTGCAGGGATGCTGGGTGGCGACTCGCAAGTCGCTTTCCAGTGAGTGTGCTCCTGACCCTTACGGTCTCAGATCCGGGCGTCCCAGAGGGGGCGGAGTGCGAGGGGCGGGAGCCCCTGGCCCCCCTCGGGGGAGGCAGGTCTCATTTTCCCAGCAGCAGCCCTGCTCAGTGGCTGCCCCACCCAACGGCGGTGGTAATCATTGTGTCCCCTCACTCCCGAACCTGGGGGACGCTGTGGGTCCAGGCCCAGATGAGGACCTGAGACCCCCAGAGGGAAAGGATTCTGCTGGGCGCAGGGTCCTGCTGTGGGGGAGGCTGTCCCGGAGGACGGCCAGGTGTAAACGGAGCTGCAGGCCTGCACCCCATTGGGCTGGGGCCTCGGGGAAGCCTGTCTAGGTTGCCACTGAGCCCCAGTGCGCATCTGCTCGTAGCAATGCAGCGCCATGCCCTCTGGGGTGTGTCCTCGCTCTCCGCAGCCAGCGGGTGCTCCTGGCTGTTCCCTCAGCGTCAGCCCTGGAGACCGGGGAGGCTGCACTGCCCACGTGGCCGGGGGCCCTGAAGAACTTGCTTGCCCCTCAAGGCCACAGCCTGCCCAGGGGCCAAGCATTGTGTGGTGTGTGTTCTGCGGGGGACCCCCTCCTACAGCTGGTGCCATCTTCTGGCCAGCTAAGCAGTGAGCGAACGGCAGCCCCTCGTAACTCAAGAGGCCCCCTGAGGACGCACTTTGGGTACTGCCCAGTTCTGGTGTCCCCAAGGAGCCCTGGGGGCGTCCCCTAAACCCTGTCACTGGGGAACGGGTGCCAGTCCCCTCTCGGGAGTGGTGGTCTCGTGGGCCAGGGCAGCCCTTGAGCCACCTGCACCTGGACGTGGCTGCTCCCGAAACACAGAGCTGGTGCCAGAACGTGCGACCGCAGCTTGCCGGACCGTTGAGCGTGGTGAATGCAGGGGCAGTGTGGCAGGCGAGGCCCGCTCTCCAGGCCCTGCGCTGGTTCCATGGGGCTGCTGCTCGCAGGGGCTCGGTGACGGTGGAGGGCCCAGTCCCAGGGCCCAGTCCAGGGGCAGCGGCACAGGGACTCAAGGGACACGGTGCGGCCGTGTGGCCCCCAGACCGCGGGCATGCGGCTCCCATCAGACACCCGCTGCCATAGGGGGCTCAGCACCCCGCCTGCGCTCTCCCAGGACAGGCCGCGGCTGGAAGCGCATGTTGTTCTCTGTCCTTGTCCTGTCACCTGACCATGTGTCTCTTCTTGGGCCATTGTGCGGCCTCGGACTGGGGCCCTTACAGGGGCACCCGAGCGAGTGGGGCTTGGGCCCAGCGCCACGGGGCAGCCCTGTCCCCGGGGTCTCGGTGGCCCCGGCCCTCAGCTGTCCCGTCTCCCTTTCTGTGTTCCAGAGCGGCCATCAGCAGGGACCCTTTCTACGAGATGCTGGCTGCGAGGAAGAAGAAGGTGTCCTCCACGAAGAGGCACTGAGCTGCGTGCGGAGCGGCCCCGCCCGGAGCAGGAGCGCCTGCCCTGGATTCCTAGAGACTCGCTTCAGCTTTTGCCATGTTCTTCAGTGGGCGACGGGCAGGTGGCTCCCACTGGGGCGAGGGACCTGGCGTCGCTGCTGCGGGCAGCGCCTTCTCTCTGCCAGGACAGAGCTCCTGCCGCAGAGCCGCCACGCAGGTCTTTGCTCCACCCGGTGGCTGAGCCGGGGTGGGGGCAGCATGTGCTGGGTGCTTCCCCGGAAGCCGTGGCCCTGCCCTGGAAGCCCCTGGGTCTCTGCAGCGCTGCAGGCTGAGCGCGGGAGGAGGAGCCACGTTCTATAAAGATATATTTTTGTTTTTTAAGAGCAGAACTGTAGAGCAGAGCCCCAACACGCACCCCGCCCGTCTGCAGTGGGAGGCTGCCCCCCCGGCGGCTCCGAGGGAGCCGGCCCCGGGCCCTGTGGGCGCCTGGGAGGGCCAGGGGGCAACAAGGACTTGGACCTGACACGGGGTCTGCGGCAGGGACAGAGCCCCCTAGACGCGTGTTGCTCTTCTCTCAGAATCCACACCCGGAGGGCTTTAGAACAGAAAGCACTTTTCTGAGCTAAATACCTAGTAACCAAAACTGTGAGGCAGGTGCCCAGCAGAGGCTCGGGCGGCCTGACTGTTCTTCTCTGGTCTTGCTTCCCGCTCACCAAGCTCCTCGTTTTAGAGGAAGGGGCGGGTCTTCCTGCTCAGCTGGGCTTCAGCTTGTTCTGCCTCAGCACCGCTTCCCTGGGCCCCCTGCCCCTGGGTGCCTCTGGTGGTGACCTGGCAGGGGAGGGGCCTCACCTGCTCCACGGGGGCAGGCGGAGCAGGGGGTGGGAAGGCCGGCCCACGCCATGGCTTCAGTTTAGCTGTCCCTTCAGACGTGTGAGTGGGCCCTGCCCTCTGCCCTGCGGTGTGCAGGGAGCCAGGAAACAGCCTCGTCCTGCCGTGCTCTCAGGGACTCTCGGGGCGCTCCTGTCACCCGTCCAGGCCAGGCCCCCGAGGAGGGGGCGGCGGGCTGGCCTCTCCCTGGGCAGTGGGCTGGCTCCCCGCCTTCAGGGTAGGTGGGCATCTCTGGAAATAGCTTTCCTAAAAGGGACTGGGGGGTGTCCTGGGGACTCTCTGGGGTCCCTCCCCACTTCCTGCAGGTCCTGCCTGGAGTAGCTTCGGGCATGTTTCTGCCGGAGCTCGTGCAGGCGCCCAGGGTCCGGGCTGGAAGCCTGAGCCTTCTGGGTGGTGTCGGGCCCCGCCCAGACGGAGGGACCTGGTCAGTATTAGTCTATTTATCAGAGGTGTAAATGATCCATGTGTAGTTTTTCTCCTGTTAGATTATTTTGTATTTGTTTAAAAAAAGTTTTGTCAAAATATAAAGAAATGGCTGAAAGCAAAGCTGTTGACAGGGTTTTTAAAGAATTATAATTATTATTCCAGTTTTTGTTTGGTTGGGTTTTTTGCCTTGTAAACTGGCACCAAGGGGCTGCAGCAAATAAACTCCAATCTGCCCAAAGCGTGTGGTGGCCTGTGGACTCTGTCGCCCGGCGGGGAGCAAGGCGGGCACATCGTGTGCTGGCGCCTGAAACCTAGTGATTGCGTGGGGAGGGGTTTTAGAGGGAAGGGAAGGAGAAAGAGAATCATCAGGGTGTGGTCGCCTCTTGTGCGCCCCCCACTGGGGACCTGGTCCACAACCCAGGCATGTGCCCTGACTGGGAATCGAACCTGCGACAGTGTTTATTCCAGTGAGCCACACCAGGCAGGGCTGCCGCCTTGTAAAGAAGAAACAAATGGCAGCCACCCAACTTCAAGTGAAGGTTAAGACCTGTGCCTTCTGCCATTTTGCGCACGTTTCGCCTTCCAGTGCCCGGAGGGCGACACAGTGAGACGACGCAGGCAGAGCGGCCCCTCCGCGTGGCCGCCCAGGGGCAGGGAGCGGCCCGGCCCTGGTCCGCCAGCCCCCCAGCAGCAGCAGGCCCCCCTCTGCTTCTGGCTTCCAGCCCCCGGCCCTGTGCCCGCCTCCCTTCCAGCGAGCTCTGCAGTTCTCCCGGACGGCACACCGGTCTCTGCTTCGATGCCAAGCTTAACGACATTTCTTTTCAGTTTCCTCCGGTCTTTGGAAGAAGGGACCCCTTCCCTGCCTGCCTCCCTTGGGTCTTTGCCACTTTTCCTCTTGTGCGAGTCCTTAAATCTCCTTCCCCACTGATTCCTTCAAACTACGAAAGGGTCCAAGTCTCGCATTTGCAAAATAATCCCTTAAGCTCAGGAAGGAGCCTGGATGTCCGCTCCTGCCCCTCGCGTCCAGAATTGTACTCAAGGTTCTCAGTGCCAACCAGGTGAGAAAAAGAAAGACAACTTCCAGGTAGGAAAGGAAGAAGTCAAACCAACTATGTTTACAGGTGACATTACCCCGTATTTATGAAATGTGACATAATCTACAAAAAACCTACTAGAACTAATGAATGAGTTCAAGGTTTCAGGGTACGAGATCCATATACAAGAGTCCCTTTTCCAACTTGGAAGCAATGAACAACCCCAAAATGAAGAAAATTTCATTTACAATACCACTGGAGACTCAACTACCTAGGAATCCATTTTTTTAAGCCTACGATGTACACAACTATTGTCCAAACATCACTGAAAGAAGCTGAAGAGGTCTCACATGGAAGGACCCAGTATTTGTGGACTGGAAGAGGACAGTGCTCTCCAAATTCATCTACGGACTTCACACAGTCCCTGCTGAAGTCCCCGCCGGCTCCTAGAAATGGAAGGTTCCTATCCTGACATTCACAGGAAAGGGAAAGGCGTCAGGAATAGCCAAAACTATCCGGAAAAAGAGCAAAGTTGGAGGATTTCCTGATTTCCAGACTCACCACGATCAAGACAGGGCTGCTGGTGCAAGGACAGACAGACCAGTGGAACAGAACTGAGAGCCCAGAAATGAACCTGTATGTTTATGGGTGGTTGGTTCTAGGCCACGGTTCCCGGGGGTCGGGGGGTGAATGCTCTTCAACAAACGGTACTGGGGTAACTAAATACAGGCAACAAGGATGAAGTTGACCCTCACCTCACACCACCTGCAACAGTCGACATGGACCAAAACCTGGGTATTAAGAGCCCAGACAGTAAACCGCGAAGAAAACCGGTAGGAATCTTCCTGACCCTGGATCGGGCAGCAGCCATGGACATGTTCCGAAAAGGGCAAACCGGACTTCACCAAAATTAAACGTGTCTGTGCTTTGAAGTCCACTGTCAGGAGAGAGAAACCACAGGGTGGGAGGGAAATATTTGCAGGTCCTTTGCTGGGCAGGAGTCCGGCAGGCAGCAGGCATGAAGAACTCAGAACCCGACAGTAGGAAGACAGGATGTGTTTTGAGTAGGTGTTTCTCCAGAGGAGACGTACTGGTGGCCGGGAAGCACTTGAACCGGTGCTCGACATCATCGGTCACCGGGAAATGGAACTCAAAACCGCCGTGAGGGACCAGCCCACCAGGATGGCTGCCCGCCACCGGAGAGAGAGACATGAGTGTTGGCGAGGGTGTGGAGCAGCGGGAGCCTCCGAGGCTCGACCGGTCGCCGTGGAAGGTTCGGCAGCTCCTCAGAAAGCTCAGTGTGGAGGCCCCGTGTGACCAAAGCTGTGCTCCTGGGTGTGTTCCCAAGAGAACGGAAAACGTGTCCCACTTGCCCATGAGTGTTCATAGCAGTGTGACGTACAACGAAAATGTGGAAACAACCCGGATGTCCGTCAGCTGATGTATGGGCAAACGGACTTAGTCGTCTGCACACAGTGGGGTATCAGCGCACAGTGGGACATCAGCACACAGTGGGACGTTAGGTGGCCATAGAAAGGCATGGAGCCCAGATTTGGCCTACAAGTGGCTCAACCTCGAAGACATGCTGAGTGACAGAAATGAGTCCACATTTTGTGTGATTCTGGTCATACGAAATGTCTAGAAAAGGCAAATCTGTGGAGACAGAAAGTAGACAAGTGGTTGTTGGGGGCTGGAGAAGCTGGGGGGTGGGAGCGACTGCTCTTGGGCGCAGTTTCCTTTGGGGTGCTGAGAATGTTCTGGAGGTGGGGGTGATGGCCGTGTAGCACCGGGCGTACACGCAGAGCCTCGTGCACGGCGCACTCGGGTGAAGTCCGGGATGAGAGAGTTACAGCTCAGTTCCACGGCAGATGACGTTGCTCCCAGCGGTTTCACTGTCTCTCAAACCGCGGCTCCCGGACCCGCGTCGGGAACGCGTGAGACGTGCGCAGTGTCATTCCCCTGCTGGGCCTGACGTCGTTTGCCAAGTTCCGGGGGGACTTCGGGTGCTCGCAGACATCGGAGAACACCGCCTTCCACCACGGTTCTGCTTCCCTTCACTGCTGGACCGTGTGTGAGTGAGCCAGCAAGTGAGACAGCTTTACTGAGGCACCCTCACGGACCCTGTGTGTTGCACACACAGAGTGTGCAACCCAGTGGTTTTGGTGTGCTCACGCAGTTTGTTCGGCCGTGAGCACAGGCTGGCCTGTCAGTGCGCACACGGTCACGCACACCTGCACCGGACGCCAGAGCGTGTCCGGCACGGGAGACGGGAGGGGTTACAGCCGAGGCTGCCCGGTCTGCTCTCATGCCTCCCAGCGCTTCCCAGTGCGTTTTGGGAAACCTGCCTGCCTGTTCCTGCTTTGGTCACGTTTGTCCAAGACAGACCTGGCCTGCATTACTGGGGACAGAGGGACAGAGAGGATGGATGACACATGATCCAAACACTTCACTGCAGTGGAAGTCAGAAATCATAATAAAGTCATTCCTTTTTTTAAAGAGGAAATTCACGAATAACGTAGGGACAAAACTTCAGAAGTCCCCAGAATAGCCCAGCGTTGGCCTGCTACACACTTGGTTGTGTGCCCTTCGAGAGCCAGGCCATGTTTCCAGTGTCGTAGTTTGCACAGGGGACTTGCAGACACGAGGCACTCCAGACACGCAGGGCGGCTCCCCGGGCTGGCTCCGCGGTGCGGCCACGGCCTTCGTGCCTTGGCCAACTCCGGCCTCTCACTGGGACGGAAGGGACAGCCGTGGGCCCAGAATGCAGTGTCCACCTCTCAGTTCGGGGTCGAGCTTCCTGGTGGGTCAACGAGGCAGAACGGCCCTTCCCTAGATTGTCCTGGGAGCAGACGTCAAGAGTTTCACATTCTGTTCCCTCTCAGATTGTGCTGGGGACCCAAGGTTTGGGGGACACCCTCTGGCCACCTGAGGGCGCTGCCAGAGAATGACTTTTCTCAGGACTGGGCGGTAGCAGATGACGTGGAAATGGGGTCACAAGTCCCGTCGCTGCCTTTATGATGACGACGTGATTCCGGGCAACTCGGTCAGAGAAAGGGAAGTGACTCAGCATTCCAGAGGCTCCTGGTGTCCCTTGATGTGTCTCCGTGGCAGGGCCACCTGTGATCACCCGTGACCGCCAGGCTCCACCTGCACGCCCGCCTGCCGGGATGAGCAGCAGAGGGGACCCTCCTGTGAGCCAGAGACCTCAGTCACTGTGGGCTCGTCACTTGTGACAAAGGCCCTACGTGAACACAGACATCGATGACAGTAAAACCCAGGACAGGGCAGGTGCCAGGTGGGTGAGGTGGGCAGGAACCGTGTCCTTTCTGCTCAGTTTTCCCGTGAGCCTAAAACTGCTCCACAAAATAAAGTCTGCGAAAGGGGTCCCCCAGGGGGCTGAACCTGCAGCGCCGGCTGGCCCGGCACATCTACACCAGAGACTAAATGGGTGGGTCCCGACCAAGCGCCCCCTATCAGCCCCAGGGACCACTGGGGTCCCGCCGGGTCCTGGGAAACGGTCAGCCCTGCCTGTCACACCAGTTAGCACTGTGCCGCCCCCAGCTGGTCCGTGTGTCCGGGGCTGTCCTGGAAGCCACCCTTGGACAAAGACGCAGAAGACAGGGACGGCTGAGATTCAGTTCCTGACGGATTCAGGGACAGCAGCCGGACTGAAGGGGACATGCCTTGGGCGATAAATGCCCCAGACCTGTGAGGGGTGGCAGGGAAGGCCCCTCTGTGCTTCCGTGCCCCGCCCCCCCCCACAACTCTAGGAGTCTCGGCAGGCGGAGGCAGCCCTGTCACGGGGCAATGAATGTCCTTGGGGAACATTCGGAGACAGGCTGCGTCAAACCGCAGGCAGGAAATTTCATTTCCAGACCATGTGTGGATTCTTTTCTCCTGACTCATTATGTTCAGAGTTCATTTTCAAACAGAGCAGAGAAGCCCCTCCAGCCGAGTCCAGGCCCCCAGGCCGTGTGTGCCTCTCCCCGTCCCTGGACATCAGAGGCGAACCGGAGTGTGGTCAGCGACACTGTGGAGTGTGCAGGACATCGGGGAAGCCCAGTCGGGGTCCTCAGGCTCCGCCGCTATCTCGGGGTTCAGACACCCCCAGCAGCAGGCAGTTCCCATCCTGGAGATGTTTTCCCAGTGTGAGCTGTTGTGAACTAAGTTGGCAAGGAGACCATTCCATAGCATGGTTTGGTTTTAACAGTCCAA